ATTTATAATTGACTCTGGATGTCTTATGGGTGGATATGCACGGGAAAAACTGAGAGACTGATGAAAAGGGAGACATGGTCATAAAGAATTGTACTCATTATACATCACTTCATCCATGTAACTATAACTTTTCTGTATATCAATTCTAAAATAACAGTAAATAAAATTTTTTAAAAAGATTGATTCTGGTACAGCATTATATATAAGTATCTAGCTTCAGTTTTCTGCATGTGTATAACCAATTCTTCCAGAACCATTTGTTGAAGAGGTTGTCTTCCATACTGTGTTTTTGGCTCTCTTATTACATATTAGATGGCTATAGGTCTGGAGGGGTTCATTTCTGCATCTTCCTCCGGCTCCCACCCCATTTATTAAGGTATAACTAAGTAACAACACATTGATTTGGAGATAGATATCTGCACATTGAAAAATGATCACAACAGTCAAGTAAGTCAATTCATCCATTCATCCATCATCATTTCTACTGAACAAACAGAACATTCAGGTTCCTGTATAGTGAAGGTATTTCCATATCTCAGGCATGCTCTTGAGCCTGGGTAATATTTGGCATGTGTAAATCTAATAGTGTGTCAAATAATACACAGATATACATGGAATATGTATCCCATACATATAGATTGAAAGCAATTTAGTTGTTCCATCCTAGGGCTTGAATTTAGGGATGAGAATTTTTGTTCAAGGCTATGGCTTTATCAGTTGAGGCACAGCTCCACTTCTGTCCTTTTGGTAGTTTTTGGAGATCAGAGTTGCATGGATTTCCCTGTTCAGGCAAGCTCGGTACCACAATTTTCAGATCTCAGCCTCCTGAGTTGTAGAATTATAGGCATAAGCCATCAGTGCCAATCTAGCATATTTTTTAATATTTAAAGATTTGAAGTCATTTGTCAAATATCACATAAATTAATCAAAATCAAGTTATGCTAGATGCCAGTGGCCCCAGCCTAGCTACTAAGAAGGCAGAGCTCTCAGGATCAAGTAGCCATTATTGTAGAAGGCATATTTCATATATTTACTTTAGATTTTAATTTATTTGAAAGGAGAGTATTCTAAACGAAAACAACAACAATCAAATCAAATGCTTTATTTTATTCTCAAATATGGGCAAAATTCATATGACATAGTTGTCATTTAATAAAAATTGCTTCAAATTAGGGACTGAGACTGATTTTATAAAGAGGGGAGGGAAGCAGCTGATTAATTAAAAAGAAAAATGAAGATTTCAACTAATTAAAAGGTAAGTAAGCGGGATTTGGGGTTGTCTGCACTCCTAACATCATGCTGGTATTTCAGTCACAATGGGAGTAGATGGTAATTAACTGAGTGGCTAAGATTACAGGCAAAAAACATTTTGAGGGACTCTTGCAAAAGATACTTAAATCTGATAAACACTTTCAGCAAATTAGCAGGATACAATGGCATCATACAAAATCAGTGGCTTCCTTTTTTACCTTCTTTCTTTTATTATTATAAATTGATTCTACCACTGGGTTTCCTTGTGATAATGATGTAGATGCAAGGAATATGCTTTGGTCAAATTTACCCCTTTTTCTTTGTTAACTTGAATATGTTCATGCAGAATTTTAAAAATTCAGTGCTAGAGGGTTTTTTTCCCCAATACCTAATCAAATTGTGGCACAAAGTTACAGTAATATAACCTACAATGTCCTGGAACAAAAGTAGATGGGTTATTTGAATACAATTCAAGTCCCAGACAGAATTCATACAACTATACTTGATTCATATCAGATTTTTAACAAAATTGCCTCAAATATACATTGGAACAAAACCTATCTTCGACAAATCCCAGGAAAACTGGACACCAATATGTAAGAGACAAACGAGGTCCTCTATCTCCTATGTTCAAATATCACCCCCAAATATGACAAAGACCTTATGATAAGACACATGACTTAAAAATACACATAATTTTATTATAAAGGTGGTGTACAGAAGGGTACTGTTTCATAAGTCAGGTAATGAGTACAATTTTTTCAGACAATGTCACCCCTTCCTTTGCTTTCTCCCAGTTTGCCCCTCTCATCTCTGCCCACAAGTCACATAGTTCATTTTCTACCTACTGTCTACTGTATTTCATGCCTGCATTGGCTTAACCCTTCATTTCTACACTCCCTTTGCCCATCCCCCAAAGACAAAAAGGAACAATAACAACAACAAAAGGAGAAATAAATGATGCCTCCACCACCATCACCAACAAAATAACCCATGTTTCCATTTCCTCAAATTTGTTTCAATAACTACTTTAAGTTTTCAACAGAGTTATACCTTTGGGAACATATGCAACTTTTAAACTACTGAAAAAATATAGGGAAAATACTTCAAGATACAGAAATATGTAACAACTTTCTGAATAAGGTCCCAAAAGCTCAGGGAATAAGTACAAAATTAATAAATTAGACCATGTCAAATTAAAAAAAATTAATGTACATCAAAGAAACAACCACCAACCGGGTGCCAGTTGCTCTCGCCTGTAATCCTAGCTACTCAGGAGGCTGAGATCTGAGCCAGCCCGGGAAGGAAACTCCGTAAGACTCTTATCTCCAATAAACCACTAGAAAGACGAAAGTGGTGCTGTGGCTCAAGCAGTAGAGCGCTTGCCTTGAGCTGAAGAGTGCAGGGAGAGTGCCCAAGCCCAGAGTTCAAGCCACACGACCGACAAAAAAAAACAATCACCAGAATGAAGAGGCAGTTGACACAGTGAGAGAGAATCCTTACCAACTATTCGGCTGACCAGGGTCCATCATCCAGAATCTGACAAGTAAAGTCAATAATCTAAACTCCAAAGGAAGAGATAATCTATTAAAGAAATGGAAAACAATGTCATTCTAAAAGAAATGGGGAACAGAATGGAAAACAGTTCTCATAAGATGTACAAATGTCCAATGAATGCATAAAGATACGTTAACCATCCTTATCCAGGAAGGAAAGGAAATTCAGAACATAGATTCTGTCTCACCTTTAGGACAGTAGGTAGCATGAAAGAAGAAATAAATTTTTTTGGGGGGGGAAAGAAGTCATACAGTATAAGTGGGAATACACACACACACACACATACACATATGTATATACATAAAGATCAGTATGAAGATTCCTAAAACTTAAGAATGATTCAGCTTAGTACCAATTGGGTATATGTCCACAAGAAGCAGTCACCTGCACATCCATATTTACTTTTATCACTATTCACAGGCTAAGTTATGAAACCTGCCTTGGTGCCCAGCCATGGATAAAGGGTTCACCCATGGATAAAGGGATTAAAATGTAGGTATATTTTATGCAGTCTTAAATAACATTGTGCTATTTATGTGAAAATGGGTTGAATTAATGAATGTCACGTTAAGTGAAGTAAGCCAGGCTCACAGAGTGTGTTTCACATGTTTTCTTCTAGTCTGGTCTCAAGTGGAAAGTATGTAATAAATGGACCACTGGGGATGTGGAGGGACATGAGGACATAGTGGACAAGGAGGAGAAATAGAAGTGGTGAATATCATCAAGGTCCTTTATGTAAATGTATGGAATTGTCATCATAAAACAACTCTTGTAGAATAAAATAAGCTCACTTATCACTCCAAACATTGAAATCAGATGACCATTTTTAATAAAAGAAATAACATGAATAGAAGAAAAATAATGTGAGAAGGATCTACATCCCTGAGAGAAGTTATTCATTACCTTCATCCATGACCACTAAATTGTATGAAGGTTAAATGAAAGTAAATGTGTGTAATTTTAAAGCATATACAAGTAAATGATATATTAATTCCAATGAAATTGCTGTTTTCTTTAGAAAAATAATCTCTGTACAATACTGACAAAACCAGGGTACATTCATTCCATTTCGTTCTGTTTGGATTTTCTGTAAGTTCCCCATAGTTTAAACATTCCATGCAAAGATCATATGTGATCATCTAAATTTAATGTTCAGTGGTATTAAATTTCCAGTTGTTTTCTACGCAAAGACCAAATGATCTTAAGTTCAATTGAATGTGGCATCATGGTAGATCTTATTCACAAGCAAGGAACAGTAAGCTAAGGAAGTATCTTTTTTTTTTTGGTGGGAGTGCACTATATAAATCAAGTCTCAGTTTTCTCCATGTGACTCTGAAGCAAAGACTATCACAGTGAACCAATCAGTTTCCAACATCTGCAGTCATACCTGCCCCTGAGACTCTCATTAGTAAACACCCAGAGAATGTTACCTCATGTACTGTTCATGAAGCTTATATGATCTGATATTACAAGTCCTAGTGAACAATGACGATTATAATTCATTACCATTAGTATTAATTATTAGGCTTTATTATAATTTAAATAACTATACATAATATAGAATAAGTATATAGAGTATTATAATTAGTGTATTATTAATTATTAATTGGTATTAATATATTATTTTCTCACTATAGTGGAGATACGGCATATTTCTCTTTGAGAACCGAAAAGGCCTTTACTAAGAAATTAGGCTTATCTCAAGGCACCCAGATAATTTGGGAAATTATAAAAACAAGTTGTGTGAATACAAAAAGACCTCATAAGACAGAGTTTTGCAGAGAACATACCAGTCAGTACTTGAGCATAAGAATTTAATCCCCTTGAGATTTCCCAAAGAAATGCAGCCCAATGTGTACTTATCTATATTATCAGCCGAATCAAGGCTCTAGATAGGACTTTGGCATTGATGAAAACATATCTATACTCTGGCCACCTTTAAAATTTCTTTTTTATTCATAGATCTATGATGTTTTATTAAACAATAACAACAAAAGAAATTCCCATTGCAGATTCTGCCTCCTTCAGGGAGACAGCTCACTTATGAAACTAGGAAGACAAAGAGTAAAACCAGATTTAAATCACAAACTGAACTGTAATACATCACCATAGGATTTAGACATTTTGGGGGAAGGGAGCTTGGTGATGGGCCCTTCAAGGTCTTCTGGCTCTCTGGTATTTATGCATTTTCATTATTCTTGAAACCCAAAAGCTGATACAGTCAGAGCAGAAGGCTTTCCAAAGAGGAGATGCCTCAAGGCCTCTTTTATCTCTCTGTTCCTCAAACTATAGATAAAGGGGTTCAGCATTTGAGGGACCACAACATACATCATGGAGGCCACCACATTCTTAGTGGCAGAATCAGCCATGTTGGAGCTCATGTACAACCCAAAAGCTGTCCCATAGAATAAGGAGACCACGGAGAGATGAGACCCACAGGTGGAAAAGGCTTTGTATCTCCCCTTCATTGTGGGGATCCTCAAAATAGAGGAGACAATCTGGGCATAAGATAAAATAATCCCAGAGAGGGGGATACCAGCAAATACACTAGTTGCCACATAGACAAGGATGCTATTGATGGAAGTGTCAGAACAGGCCATGTTCATGACCTGGACAAGCTCACAGAAGAAGTGGGGGATTTTAAGGTCAGTGCAGAAGGACAGTCTCAATAGCATGAGACTGTGGAGCAAGGCATTCATGGTAATGATAAGCAGGGACATTATTACTATCAGGACACAGAGGTGGGGATGCATGATGGCTGTGTACCTCAGGGGGTGACAAATGGCTATATAGCGATCATAAGCCATGGCTGTAAGGAGACAACTTTCTAAACCACCAAAAATCAAGATAAAGCAGACCTGGGCAAGGCATCCAGCGAAGGAGATGCTGTGGTCCTGGGCCTGGATGTTCACCAGCACCTTTGGGATGGTGGTGGTGCTGGTACAGATGTCTATGAGGGAGAGATTGGAGAGGAAGAAGTACATGGGGGTGTGAAGGTGAGTGTCAGAGCTGACAGCCAGGATGATGAGCAGGTTGCCCAGGATGGTGATGAGATATATGGACATAAACAGGAGGAAGATGAGAGGCTGGAACTCTGGATCATCTGTCAGTCCCACGAGGAAGAATCTAGCAATAGCAGTTTGGTTTGTGGGCTGCATATTCCACCTGGAAATTCCTGGAATAGATGAGATGAAAAAACATGGATGTCAAACATGCTACTTGTTGGACAGAGATCAGGAGACTCACAGTTCCAGGGAAACAAACACAGAAAAATATACTAAGAATCCACCTCAACTAAGAATCCAGGCATTATAGCTCACACCTGTAATCCTAGCTACTCAGATGGCTGAGTTCTGAGAATGATGGTTCAAAGCCAACCCAGGCAACAATGTCTATGGGACTCATCACCAATTAACAACAAAAAATACAGAAATGGAGCTATGGCCCAAGTGATATACTGCCAGTCTTTAGCAAGAACGCTGAGTGTGCATTCCATTAATTCAAACCTCAGGAATAGCACATAAAATGGAAGAGAAGGGGAAGATTATCATTCAGCAGCTAAAACAGGTGCTATGCTTGTGGAGAATGAAAGCCAGCAGAATGAGAATTGGTAAATGCTAATGTCAATACCAAGAGAATTTGTCTATACACAGTAGATCAGGAGGGGTCAGGTAACTTGAGTCTAATCATTAACTCTCATAACCCTCACCCCCATTTCTGTGTATTTTTTTTTTTTTGTCGGCCGTGGGGCTTGAACTCTGGGCCTGGGCGCTGTCCCTCAGCTCTTCAGCTCAAGGCGTGCACTCTACCACTTGAGCTACAGCGCCACTTCCGGTTTTCTGGTGGTTTATTGGAGATAGGAGTCTCACGGTCTCTCCAGCCCGGGCTGGCTTTGAACCGCAATCCTCAGATCTCAGCCTCCTGAGTAGCTAGGATTACAGGCATGAGCCACCAGCGCCCGGCTCCTCACCCCCATTTCTAAGGCATTGATCAGGGCCTATCACTTATCTGGCTGTTTTCAGTCTGGTGAGAAGCCACCTCTCACCAGGATGTGGAAGATGGGAGTTCTGACCTCAGGGCAGGGTGACAAAGGGCTTAAGCTGCTCAGGAAGGCTCCTGGCCTGGCTGAGGCTTAGGGTCTGCTTCCTTACTGGGCAGGGCTGTGCAGGGAAGGAGGGAGGCAGGCCAACTCCTCCAGCCTCTGCAGCCCTCCTGCTCAATATCCAAAGCATCTCATTATACAACTACTTCACTGTCATTCTAGTCCCAGGAAAGCATGTCCTTGTAGACTGTGGGCACAGCAATGAGGAGGCAGCAGTGAGGAGTGAGTGATCCCTTGAGCCCTGAGGCCAAGCATGGGACATCCACATCTGTGTGTTACATCTTCCCACTGCATTACTTGAATCTTGAGTGTACTGTCTGTGATGATTGCCCAGTTGGCTTGAACTATGTACTCCATTTGGACTTCACCTCCAACTTGGCCCACTTCCATCTTCAATTTGCTGAGATTTAAATCTTGCAAGTGGCCATGTTTGTTGCTTTCTAGTTCACCCAGAATATTCCAAGGTTCATTTTTTTTGAATAAGGCAATTGTAAAAAAAGCCTCTTGGTAGACATAGATGATATGAAAACTTTACAACACCATCCAAAGTACAACTGCATTAACCTCACTGATGATTTGTTGGGTGAATTTGTGACTTACCAGTGTCAGATCACACTTGTAATCCTAGCTACTCATGAGGTTGAGATCTAAGGATTGTAATTCAAACTCATCCTAGGCAGAAAAATCACCAAGACTCTTTTCAATTAATCACCAAGAAGCCAGCAGTAGAACTCTGGCTCTAGTTGGTAGAGTGACAGCCTTGAAGCTAAGAGGCAGTTCCTAGGTCCTGATTTAAGTCCTATTAACAAACACAGGCACATCCAGAAGCATACATAGTGTCAGAAAATCAGTAAAATGAATCAAGGAGTACAAATTTGACTGATGAGGGGTGAAGGGGAATTTTGTTTGTGTCAGAGAAGAAATCAGGTCAAATTCCTTTTGCACTGAACTTGGAGAAAAATAACAATGGTGAAAATTTCGGGAGAGTTCTTTGTACTCGGAAATCTTACTTTAAGAGTTTGCTATAAAGAAATAAGAGATGGGAGCACATGTCACAAATTATGAAAAATCCAGAGAGGGTTTTGTTGTTGTTGTTGCCAGTCTGGGGATTGAACTCAGGGTGTGGGCACTGTCTTTGAGCTTCTTTTGCTCAAGTCTAGTACTCTACAACTTGAACCTCAGTGCCACTTCTGGCCTTTTCTGTTTATGTGTTGCTGAGGTATCAAACCCAAGACTTCATGCATGCTAGGAAAGCATTCTAGTAAGTCATACTCCCAACCCAGAAATGGTTTTAATAGATGGAAACTCATATGCATGGGATATTGAATGCTATTGGAAATAAATCAATCCAATGGGAAACTGAGCATCGAGAAAAGAGAATTTCCAGGACAATCACCTTAGTGTGATAAAAATGCATGAAACCTGTACACAAGAGGTAGGGTTAGAATTGCATGCATTCACAACTGTATCCAAACTGTGAATTGTCAAGAAAAAAGAGGGAAGATCATCTTGAGTTCATTAAGTGTTTTAACTTTATCAGTCATTTATCACTAAATAGAAAATTCAACCAGCCACTTACAGTGTGTGTGTTTTAAGATTCAGGAAATTAGTCAAAAAAATTCACTAAGGGAATGTTTTGCCATTCATCTTGGAGATAGATGCCAAAATCTGAAAAGATGATCCAATAAAGGACATGGAAAAATCAACAGGAAAAAGAGCAAGAAAGGAGAAGTGGAGGAATAGGAAGAAGAGGAAGAAAGGAAGCAAGGAGAATAAAACATAGAAGAAAAATGAGGCTGATTTGGAATGAGAGACAAAGACAGGGAGAGTCAGTAAACAAGGAGGAGAAAAAAAACAAAGTGGAAGAAGGAATAGGAGAAGAAAGAGAAAGAAAGAATTGAGTGGAAGGATGAGAAACGCAGACAATGAGGATGAGGAGAATGCAAAGATGAGCTCAAATATGATGGAGGACACTGTTTATAATCCCAACCCCAGCTTGATACTCTATCCTTTAATTGTCTACTAACCAATTTTGGAAGTACACCTTCAAGGAAGACACCCACGGGGAATACCAGGAGATGTTTATGTGTCACAGAAGTTTCACATCATCCAACACCCTCCTTGAGACCCCTCCTTCGAGCATGTCCCCCTGTCCTGGTGCCATGGAGGTGGATTACTTCCTCCAAGCTAGGCCTCAGTGGTGAGTGGTCCATGTCCTGGCTGCATATAATTACAGATCCAATGAAGACATGAGAGGGCAATAGGTATTCTCAGGCTTCTTCTTCTTCTTCTTCTTCTTCTTCTTCTTCTTCTTCTTCTTCTTCTTCTTCTTATTATTATTATTATTATTATTATTATTATTATATTGTACTTGTCTGGGGCTTGAACTCAGGGAGGGCCTGGGCCTTGTCCCTGAACTTTTCTTTTTTACTACCACCTGAGCCACAAGTCCACTTCTGACTTTTTGGTGGTTCATTGGAGATAAGAATCTCATGGACTTTCCTGCCTAGTTTAAAACCTGGTGTCTCAGATCTGAGCTTACAGAGTAACTGGGGTTACAGGTATAAGCTACTGCCAACTTACTAAGTTTCATTTTTTCCCACTTAAACCTGGCTCCTCCTTGAATGTGAATTGGCCATTTTTGAAGACCCAGGAGTCACACACCAACTTTCATCTTCTCACTAAAGGGATGGAAAAGGGGCTGATCCAATTCTTGAACATCCTAAAATGTCAAGTCTAACCCTACTGTACCACAAGAGAGATAATAAAAGAGAACATGTAGTAAAATTGTTCATTGTGGATGTGTGTGACATGAAGATTTAAAGACAATGTGGTAACTGAGCAGTTCAACACTTCATTCAACCTCACCTCAACTTATCTAGTTCCATTTCCATATATGTACATTGAGTATTGAGACTATATTCACCCACCCTTCCTGTCTGTGTTCATCTTTCTCACTCCCCCAAAACCCCATTACTCCATTAACACTTCTTACAATGAATGAATGTTCATGGACCAGTACTCCGGAACAGGAGGGAAAGAGAAGGCTGTCATCTCATGTGGAAACACAGCCAGACTTCCCTTTTCAGTTTCTTCTCAGCTCCCCTTTATCTGGGTACTGTTTTGAGGAGTCTTAAAATCTACTGCCATACAAAGAACTTCAGAGACTTTCTTTATGGGCATTTCCAGGACCAAAGGGGCAAAAATAATAGTTGTCAACCCATTTGTCACTGAGAAACATCTGGGCTGATTCCATTGTCTTGGCTATGGTAAACAGTTCTCAGCCTCTACAGTAGTCAGAATTTCAGGGGTGAGCCACATAGGGGAAGATGTAGGTGCTTAGTTAGAGCTATAAACTTTCTTCTTAGCACTATTATTCCTGTATCCCAAAGGTTAATGTGAATTGTATATATTTATTATTTTTACGTGGTTGTAGAAAAAGGTTCTCCATGTCACTTTATGAGTACAATGCATCTTGACCAATATCACCTCCCATCCTTCTCCTTTATCTCACCCTATCCCACCAATCCCCCGAATTTATCTAGTTCCATTTCCATGTGTGTACATTGAGTATTTGCCCACCTTTCCTGTCTGCATTCATTTTTCTCACTCCCCCAAAGCCCTATTACTCTATTAACACTTTTCTACAAAAATAGCAATGTCAATCCTAAAAATAAAACAATCACAGAAGACTCCATATGACTACAGCAGTCCTAACCAAAAATGAGCATTACTGAGTATCACAATATCTGACCTCAGGTTATAAAACAGAGCTATGGTGACAAAAATAGAATTGTATTGTCATAAAAAAACATACAAGTATGCCAATGTGATGTGATATCAATGAATGGAAGAGAATAACCTGGAAATAAATACATCCAGCTATAGCTAATGACTTACATTGGAATAACACCATCATAGGCTCTGTGTAGGATTTGCCTTTTACTTGGACCAGATATTAATTACACAGATGATCCCCAGCTTCTCATTTTTAAGTGACAATTTTGTAAATTATGATGGTATAAAGCAAAGCACAATCTGCACAAACAGTGCTAGACATTTAGAATTTCAACTTTTCCCTAGGCTATCTTTAAATGATTGCTGACCAGAAACAGTGAGCAGGATCTTCCAATCAGCCATGGGGTTCCAGGACATATGCTATGTATGCCATTGTTTGCTGCCTGTATGTTTAGTGGGGTAGGTGTGCATTAAAGGCATTCTTGGGGCTGGGAAGGTGGCTCAAGTGGTAGAGCGCTAGCCTTGAGCTGAAGAGCTGAGGGACAGCGCCCAGGCCCAGAGTTCATGCCCCAGGACCGGACCACCCCCCCAAAAAAGGCATTCTTGGTTGCAATATTTGCAACTTACAGAGTGTTTTTGAGTATATAATCCTATTGTAATTCAAGACACATTTAGTAAACAAAGATGTTAAACCCCTTGCCTTTAAATTGCTTCAAGTTTCATTACAGATATTGTGAGGTCTGCACTCTGGCTTGCAGGTTGAAGTGGACTCGATATTGAAGTTTTTTCTTGGTGGACCTGAGTGATTTGGCTTCAGGTTGAGGAGATTATAGTAGCTTTCTATGGATATCTTCTCAGAGAACTGAGACTACAAATTGAGAACTCAGTTGCAACACTTCTCAAAGGACAGATGGCTGTGTGATTAAGTTTGCATGTGTCACAAGGTGGAGAAACCCAAGAAGTCATGGGCTCATGACAAATGTCAGGCAAGTGTGGTTAAAAGGTGAAATCCTAATAAGGCTTTTATGATTGATAAAAGGGCAGGCTATATGCACTAGCTCATGCCTGTAATCCCAGATAATTTCAGGAAGCAGAGATAAGATGTTTGCCGTTTGAATCCATCCTAGACAAAATAGTAGTAGTAGTAGTAATAATAATAATAATGAAATTTTATTTTTGTAATGCTTTGTAAAAGAGAAACAGGGCACCAGTGACTCACACCTACAAACCTTGCTACTCAGGAGGTTGAAGTGTGAGGATCACAGTTTAAACTAGGCTAGCCAGAAAAGTCTGAGACTCTTATCTATAATTAACAACAAAAAGCCAGAAGTAAAGCTATGCCTCAAGTGGTAGAACACTAGCCTTAAGCAAAAATGCTCAGTAACAGTGCCCAGACCCTGAGTTCAAGCCTCATGGAAGACAAAATATTTAACAGACCTCAGGACCAATAGAATAGAATTGAAAACCCAGAAATGAACCCACAGACCTATAGCCATCTAATCTTCAATAAGGGAGCTAAAAAATAGAATAGAAGAAAGACAACCTCTTCAGTAAATGTTGCTGGCAAAATTGGTTAATCACTTGTAGAAAACTAAATCTAGATCCTTATATATCACCCTGCACCAGAATCAACTCCAAATGGATCAAAGACCTCGGAATCAAAGCAGACACTCTGAAAACATTACAGGATGGAATAGGAGAAACTATAGGTCTCCTTGGCACAGGCCAAAATTTTCTTAATAGAGACCCAGAAACACAACAAATCAAAGAAAGGTTGGACAAATGGGATTGCATGAAATTGCAGAGCTTCTGCATGGGAAAGGACATAGCTAGCAAGATCAATAGAAAGCCCATGGATTGGGAGAAGATCTTCACTAGCCATACAACAGACAAGAGTCTCATATCTAAAATATACTTAGAACTCAAAAAATTAAATCCCCCAACAACAAATCCTCAAAGAAACAACTGCCCAAAAAATAAGTGGGCTAAAGACTTAAAGAGAAACTTCTCTGAAGAGGAAAGAAGGATGGCCAATAGACACATGAAGAAATGTTCAACCTCCCTATCCATAAAAGAAATGCATATCAAAACAACATTGAGATACCACCTCACCCCAGTTAGAATGGCTATAATCAAGAACTTTAATAATAACAGATGCTGGAGGGGATGTGGACAGAAGGGAACCTTACTGCATTGTTGGGGGTGGGGTGTAAACTTGTTCAGCCACTTTGGAAAGTAGTATGGAGGTTCCTCAAAAGACTCCACGTAGAGCTCCCCTATGACCCAGCAATCCCACTTTTGGGCATTTACCCACTAGCACAACTATATTTATTGCAGTAGTATTTACCATAGCTAAGATATGGAACCAACCCAGATGCTCCTCAGTAGATGAATGGATCGAGAAAATGTGGTACATATACACAATGGAATTCTATGCCTCCATCAGAAAGAATGACATTGCCCCATTTGTTAGGAAATGGAAAGACTTGGAAAAAATTGCGATAAGTGAAGTAAGCCAGGCCCAAAGAAACATAGTTCCCATGGTTTCCCTTATTTGCAATAACTAGTACATGTCTGAGACAATCAGAAAAGGTCAGATAAGTTGATGTTGGGAGAAATAAATGCCAAGATAAGGACTCAATTTTTTTTCTTTCTTGCTATTGTTTCAAACAAATTTACAAGATATTTCTTTGTTGCTTTCTATGTCCCTCCCCCACAGTATAACCCCTGTTTTCACTGTATTTTATGTTGGTATAATTTGTGTAGGAGAAGGGAAAAAACAAACTGTTTAAATAGAGATACAGGTGGGCCCATTGCAACAATGAGATGTACATGAACTTATGTCGAAAAATGAACTTTACAACTTTGGCGTGGGGGGAGAGAGGGTCTGCGGAGGTGGGGAAGATGGGGAGGGATGGTAAGGGGAAACAAAGGAGGAGGCAAAAATGCTTGATAAGAAATGCACTCATGGCAGTTTCCCCGGTGTGGACTTTCTGTCTCCTTGCCAGCGCCGCCCCGATGGCCTCCCAAAACCGCGACCCAGCCGCCGCCAGCGTCGCTGCCTCCCGCAAAGGAGCCGAGCCAAGCGGGGGCGCCGCCCGGGGCCCAGTGGGCAAGCGGCTACAGCAGGAGCTGATGACCCTCATGATGTCTGGTGACAAAGGAATTTCTGCCTTCCCTGAATCAGACAACCTTTTCAAATGGGCAGGGACTATCCATGGAGCAGCTGACACAGTATATGAAGGCCTGAGGTATAAGCTCTCCCTGGAGTTCCCCAGTGGCTACCCTTACAACACACCCTCGGTGAAATTCCTCACGCCTTGCTACGATCCCAACGGGGACACCCAGGGAAACATCTGCCTGGACATCCTCAAAGACAAGTGGTCGGCCCTGTATGACGTCAGGACCATCCTGCTGTCTATCCAGAGCCTACTAGGAGAGCCCAACATCGAAAGCCCTTTGAACACACATGCTGCCGAGCTCTGGAAAAACCCCACAGCTTTTAAGAAGTACCTTCAAGAAACCTACTCAAAACAAGTCTCCAGCCAAGAGCCTTGACCTGAGCTGTCCAATTTCTCCTGTGTTGTCTGTCTTTTCCTTAGTCTACCTGTCCTTTTCCTTGACTTCTGTACAGGACTCTGTTATCTTGAGCTGTGGTGTTGTTTTTGTTATGTTTTCTGTTTTTTAAATTAAGATTTAAGTCCTTGCAATGTATATTAAATAAATAACATTTGGGTTGTTTTTGTAAAAAAAAAAAAAAGAAATGCACTCATTCCCTTGCCAATGTAATTGTAACCCCTCTGTATGGTATTTTCACAATAATAAAAAATAAAAGAATGCTTGGTGTGGTAGAGTGCATTTAAAAATCCCATCTCTAACGAGAGCAGTAGGAAGATTATGTTCATATCCCATCCTAGGAAATAGCAAGAACTTTTCTGAAAAAAAAGCAAAAACAGGGTTAGAGGCAGGGCTCTAGAGGTAGAGGATTTGCTTAACATGGGCAAAACCCAGAATTTAAAGCCAAGTACTATCTCCCCATAAAGGAAGAAAGGAAGGAAGGAAGGAATGAGGGAAGGAAGGAAGGAAGAAGAGAAATGAAAGAAAAGAGTAAAGAAGCAAAGAAGAAAACAAAAAAGAAAGATTCCATTACAAAATGTCATGATCTATTGTTCTTTTTGGAAAATAAAAAAAACACAATGTTAAATTTATTTTAAATGACTTGGGCAATCCACAGGTCGAATTAAATTTATTTATAATGACTCAGGCAATCCACAGGCACAATTACAGCCACAATCTAACAGAAAATATCCTACCCTTAAAAAGGAAACAAAGAGGGCAATACTAGGATGATAACCTTTGCTTTATGAGCTCATTTGGCCAGCTTCAGTCACACAGTACAAAAAATACATTTACTCCTCAAGTATACTAGTTATGTTCATAAAGGCATTGCTCTATGGATCATTTGATGGGTAATGGCTGGAAGATGAATGTTGTAATTGAAAAGATAGAGTGACATATAATCATGAATGGGAAGATAGCACACCAGTAACTAAGATGCATAAGGTAATAATTTGTCTTTTAGGCCATGATGATGTTTACTTCTCACCAGTAATAGAATGAAAAAAGGCCGAATGGAAAATCAGAGGTGTTCTGTGCCTCAAACCACAAATTAATAGAGAAAGGTGTTTGGATAAAGAAAGGAAAAATAAACAGCATAAAGAATAAGAAAGTAGTGTTTGGGGGAGGAAAAAACCACTTGGCCTAAAACAACTCTGGTTGAGCACTAGTGGCTCAGATTGTAACCCTAGTTACCCCATCTTCTCAAGTTTCCACCACCACTGCATAGAACTACAGACTGTGGAGCAAGTCTTGAATATGACATTAAGAACCTTTCAAGACCCAAACAACAGAAGTTCTAAAATGAAGTAATATTCGCACATGAAACCATCATCATCATCATCATCATCATCCTCAAAACTACTAAAACTGGGGCTTGGAAGGTGGCTCAGTGGTAGAGTGCTTGCCTTGCATGAATGAGGCCCTGGGTTCGATTCCTCAGCACTATGTAAGCAGAAAAAGCCAGAAGTGGTGCTGTGGCTCAAGTAATAGAGCGCTTGCTAGCCTTGAGCTGAAGAGCTGAGAGACAGCACCCAGGCCCAGAGTTCAAGCCCCACAACTGACAAAAAAAACCCCACCAAAACTCACAAGTATTCTTTCAATTCTGAGTGTCTGGTTTTTCACTTTCCTGATGTATAAACCCAAATAACATGACCCAACTACATATTAAGCTGTCATTCTGACCAGCTTCCAAAGTGCTTTCTTGAGTCCCTGAAATGACATCTGTCAAATTAGGATATTCAAATGTCCAATAAAATACACACAAAAAGATATTAAAAAGAAGATCAACTTACTTGTGTGAATAAATCACAGAGGCTATAAATGGCAGTAAATTCGTTCTTCAATGTTAAAATAGTAAATACGTGTCTATGATCTCAGTGCATCATGCTATACTGTTGAGTAAATGGAAGGTCTTAAATTTGTGACCTTTTCCATAAATAATTACACCCCTTTTTTAGGATTTAACTGTAAAAATTTTATCATCAGCACAAAAGAATAAGCACTCCGTGTATTAAATGCACTTTTTGTGAATGTGGATGTGTGCTGGTCCTGGGGCTTGAACTCAGGGCCTTAGTGCTATCTCTGAACCATTTTGCTGAAGGCTGGCACTCTACCACTTGAGCCACAGTTCCACTTCCAACTGGTTGGTGGTTTACTGGAGATAAGAGTCTTACAGATGTCCTGCATGGGCTATATTCCAATAGTGATCCTCAGATATCAACCTTTAGAGTGGCTAGGATTACATGTATAAGCCACAGGTGCCTGGCCACTAAATGAACTTCTGATTTTGAAAATCTTCAACATAGCATGAGTTCCCAAAACAGAATCATATTGTAAGCCAAGCATGTGAATGTCAATGATGTTTTCCAAACATAGGCATCTGGTTTTGCTGTTTCTTTGAACCCACAGATCAAAATAGATTACCTTAATATGGATGGCAGGCTGCTTTGCAGGCCAGGAACCAAAGAGGTCTCCTGATGTCCCTGTTCCCCAAACTGTAAATGAAGAGGTTCAGCATGGGGGTGACCATGGTGTTCATCACAGAGGCCACCATCAATTTCCTGTTGGTGTCTGAAATAACTGAACTGAAGTATGCACCCAGGCCTGTCCCATGGCAGACAGGTGAGAGCTACAGGTGGAGAAGGTTTTGTATTTTCCATTGGTTGATGGAATTCCAAGAATAGTAGAAACAATTTGGATGTAAGAATAAAGGATCTCTGAGACGGGAATCCCACCAAAGACCACACCAATGAGATAGATGAAGACGTTTTTGTTGGAAATGTAATCACAAGCAAGCTTAAGGAGTTGAGGAGTGTCAGAGAAGAAACTGGGAATTTCAACATTTGAACAGAAAGTAAGTTTATGACATCATCAAGCAGTGTACCAGGGAATCCAGAAGACTGAGGGATAGTGACAGCAGGCCTAACAAGCCACAGAGGTGGGGGTTCATAATGATGGGGTAGTGTAGAGGGTGACAGATGGCCACCAAGCGGGCATAGGCCATTATTGCCAGCAGCACACTATCCATACATCCAGAAAAGAGCAAAAAAGGATACCTGTGTTAGGCATCCAGCATAGCTGATGGATTTGTTGTGTGTCTGGAGGTTCATCAGTATCTTGGGGATGGCAATGGAGGTAAAGCAGATGTCAGCCAAGGAGAGGATTGAGAGGAAGAAGTACATGGGAGTGTGGAGATGGGGATCAGAGCTGACAGCCAAGATGATGACCAGATTTCCAAGCATGGTGATCAGGTACATCGACAGAAACAGCTTAATGAGGATGGGCTGAAGTTCTGGATCATCAGAGAGTCCCAGGAGTAGGAATTGTGATAACTCTGTGTAGTTTTGTGGTTCCATCAAGTTTGCATACCTTATGGAAAAAATCCACAGATTATTGGGATAAATAAACGAAAAGCCAATCCATGATATCCCTATATTATAAAGTCAATCAGCTCAAAATCCTATTCATACGTGACCATTCAATGTTTTGGAGAAGATGGAAATGTGTCTTCAAAAAGCCACATGATGCAAGCAACACTTGAGACAAGAGAACATGAAACCTTGGAGAAATGTAATCCAGTGCTGATGGATGGTTCTGTTTAATGTGCTTCTGTAAAGCACCTAGGGTTCTGAGTTATTCACTTCCAGTGCAAAGAAGATGTAAAACAGAAAAGAAAGGTGAGACATAGCAAGAATAAAAAGAAGGGAGAAAAGGAAGGGAGAAGAAAGAAAGAAAAGGAAGGAAGGAAGGAAAAAAGGAAGGAAGGAAGAAGGAGGGAAGGAGGGAGGGAGGGAGGGAGGGAGGAAGCAAGGAACCAAGGAAGCAAGGAAACAAAGAAAAAAAGGAAAAAAGGAAACAGGGGGAGGGAGGGAGGAAAAAAGGAAGGAGAGAGAAAGAAAGAAAGAAAGAAAGAAAGAAAGAAAGAAAGAAAGAAAGAAAGAAAGAAAGAAAGGAAGAAAGGTAGGAAAGAAAAAGGAAAGTTTGAGGAAGGGAGGGAAGGAAAAAAGGAAGGGAGAGAGGGAGGGAGGAATAGAAGGAGAAAAGGAAGGAGAGGGAGGGAACAAAGGAAAGATGGAAAGAAGGAAAGAAGGAAGGAAGGACATTGAGATAGAAAGAAAAGAAACTAAGGTAGGAAGGAAAAAAGGAAGGAGAGGAGAGGTGAGGAGTAAAGAGGAGAGACTGTAATTTAAAGATGGTCACCAAGTGGTATCTGGTCATCCAGGAAAATGACAGAACTCCCAGAAACAACAATCTCTCTTTGGCCATGATTGCTAGAGCTGTCATACAGCAGACCTTGACACACTGGCCCAGCCTCCTGCAGGCAAAGCCCACATGTGAATTTATCAACCAGCTCCACTCTGACTGCAAAAAAATCCCTGCTCTGAGTGTTGGGCAGACAGGAAAGGGGACATAGTGTGGAACTGTTATTAAGGAATGAAATGAGGGCAGTGTTTCTGTTCTGCCTGCATTTCCACTAGCTCCTGGAGTTCACTGATGTACAGTTCAAACCCCTGGGGTTTCCGGTGGGTTGGTGTAGCTAAGAACAGAACCTTCTATAAGCAAGTCTGAGTAAGCCTACACATGGTATGCCTACATAAGACCGAAATGTAAGGCTGAGGATTGTGTCTCCCACAATCCTGTGACAGGAAATTTCCAGCCATCACTTGCACAAAAGCAGAATCCTTCTTTCTGTTTCCACTTCATGCTTATGTGCACCCACATTACAAGTGAGGGAAGAGAGGCAGAACTTCTCTTATGAATATAAGAAAAAGAATTTCATGTCAAGTATAAATCAGTCCACAGAAAAACTCCATGGAATTGCCTATCTTGTAAAAATAGCATATATAGTTCTTTTTAAAAAAATAATACAGTCAGTCATTAGTTATCTCTATGATGAATAATATTCAACTACCTAACGGTTCTGTGTGTGTGTGTGTGTGCGT